AGAGACGGTAGGTTCCTTTAGCTCTCCACGTACGTTTACAAGGCAAGGTAATGTGTGCTGTTGAATAAACTTTAACGTGCAAAGCTTACTGACTGTACTGCTACATTTCCTCCGCACATTCTTGTGCCCACCAGCAAAAATGGTGGAAGGAAGAGGGAAAGAGTTTTGTAGAATTCTTTCTAGTCGCGTACTAAATATACAGAAGCTTTAGTTTTGTGCAATAACTCTATCTTAGCAGAAGCAGCACCCTGAGCCCTGCAGCAAGTATGCTTCATCTAGCTCCAATTAAAATACTAGGAGTTTATCACCCGCTGAACTCACTGTGCTTCAAGCAAAACCTCTCACAAAGCTGCAAAACAAATCTAAGATCTCAACAATATCTTGTAAAACTCTTTTATGGATCTTTTTATTGTCATGACTACTCATGCCTTGCCACTGTGAAGTTTCTGCATTGCTTCTGTGATCAGCTGTCAGTGAAGTAGATGAGAGGCTTGAAACTTCATTAGGATCAGCAGTTTAATTTATTTCTCCAATTTTGCATAGAGTTGTGAAGAAATTGGAGCTGTTCTTCTAGCTGAGTACAGTTCAAAAGCAAAGCTGCAATGCAAACTTTTTCTACCCTTGTAACTTTGAGAATGGAAAATCCAATCCCATTAAAAAGACCAAGTGCTACAAGTCATGCTCCAAGCTTCTCAGATGGCTTCAGTGTTAACTGCAGTAGGCAAATCAAGAGCTCATTGTTAGGAAATAGTTTTGTAAAGGTCATTTCATCTCAGAACTAAACCATGAAAATTTAATGTTAGGGTTTTTTTTTTTATAGTTTCATTTGGTGACTTTTTATAGCACTTGCCCATCATTTTGCTGTTTTCTGCAGCATAATAATTAGACATCATAAACTGATGATTAACTTTAAGAGGGCCAAACACCATCAGCAGCTAAGATTAGCATAGGGAAGGGAAGAAAGCTCTTCCTCAACACTGGATGCTGAGTGTGTTTCTAGCTCTGTCCTTCTGCAGTAAGGTAGTAGCAGGGATCCACCAGGTTCATCAAGTACTCTTTTGCCTAGGGGCTTTCCCTTTCAGCCCAGGATAAAGGCAGCACACCCAGAAGTGTTTGGATGTACAGTATAATCACTGAAATGACCAACCACTTAGAAGCATCTTCGTCCTTACTTACCAGTTAAAGAAGAGTACCAGAGTAAGTGATGGAACATAGAGCTACACAATTAAAGAAAAAAGGTAAGACGACAAAGTTCATATGAATTAAGCTGATGATCTTCTCTCAAAAATGATATTTCTTTCACTGCCAGTAAGCTGTTAGAATGCAAGCCCTTCTTCAATAATCCGATAAAAAAGCATGAGACTTCAAAACATCAGCTGCAGGTGCTGCTACTTGACTTTTCATTCTTAAGCCACGGGCCCCGACTGGCAGCCTGGGGTTTTCAGAACAGACTGACTCCACCAGTGGAGACACCTGGCAATGTGTTGCAGTGTGGGCACAGCATTTACACCAATGGATCAGATCATAAGTCAGAAGCAGGGCTTGCTCCTCTTGCAGTGTAAGGTTACTTTGGCCAATTCATTTAATGACCATTTAGATGGCTCCTATGTCAGCCCCTCAAGCCCTATCTATTTTGGTGTTTCTGACCAAGCATCTTATTAGCTTGGTAGCTGTCGAAAACTACAGTTCTGATTGAGAAGGAAAAGAGATGCCAGAAAATTAAGGGAAGTAAAATAAGTCCTTGACAAACAAATTCAACTGCACTCTAAATCTTGCATAGCTGTGTGAGAATCCAGACCAATCATTCACATCCACAATGATCTCCCTGACTTTCAACCTCACTTGAAAGGCTGACACAGGAGCTTTGCTGGTAGAGGAGAAGGGCAGGCAAGTTTTGAAATATAAAACTGGAAAACTTACTGGTCTCCCAAATGCACAGCCATGCTCTTTACTGCACATTAGCAGTTCCAGGTGAAGGCCTGTAAAAAAGCAAATGATAAACATTTGAGACATTGACCACCAGATTAATTAGTAAGCTCAGTACAAAAAAAAAAAAAAAAGAAGACTTTGACTGCAAAATTCAACCCTATGCCCATCTGCAGACTTTCCTAGAATCCAGCAATATTCACCTTCCAGATCAGGCACTTGCTGCTATCTCCTGCTAGCAGCAGAGGTATCAGTTCCATCCTTTAAAGTACAGACCAGGTCTGGAACCCAAATATAAGGATTCACAGATCTGGTGTTTTGATTTGGGCATCACAAGCTCTGAGAAAAAACAACAGTAATTTCCCCTTAGAAAAATTGTTTCAGATCCGTTTTACAGAGAGGAAAGACAGAAACTATTTCGTTTACTTGTAATGACTTCTACAGGATACAGGGACTGCTAAAGTAATTGCATTTTATTTTATTGCAGAGGCAAAGAAGGAGTAATGCAAGTAGGAAGGGTCTCTAGATATCCACCTTCAGCAACAATGAGCAGCATATACAAGAGCTGTATTAATGAGAGTACAGTATGTGAATCAAGTGAGGTCATCCTGTGATACTTGGTGGCTCATTTGTTGTATTAGAACCACCTCAGAAGGACACTGCATTTCATTTTGGCAGGGAGATCTAACCTGGAGAATAAAAAAAATATTGTGGAATGGCAGTTGTGTTAAGACAAAGCAGTCACTTATACACAAGCACACTAAGAACAAGAGCAACTGGAAGGAACCAAGCTCATATTCAATGAGTGCCAGGTCCATGGTTATACCCAAGCCCTCTTTTTTTCCTCCAATCAGGAGGAAAGTCTTTCTAGACAGTCTTTCGGTGAACAGTTTTGTTACAAGCCATGAGAATTATCAGAATAGGTGAAAAATCACAGCAGCCCTGTAAATTCCTGTAGAGAGCACCTGAACACATATCATGGGTTCAGACATTTCCAAAGAACAACCTCACAGGCAGCGGAGCACAGAGCACAAGGCACAAGAAATTCGTCTCTACTCATTTCTCTGAGCACAGAAGGAATCAGAAATCACCCCACTGACTGCGTTTAGATACCAGATTTGAAAAGGAGTAGAGAAGCATTATGCAAAACATGCTCAAGACAAAGCCAGTTCAATAGCAATACAATCGCTGTTGCTTTTGCTTTACTGAAGGCTCATGGATTTCAGCAATAATAAAATTATTTAAAACTGACCAGTGAGATAGCTTGACAACCACTTTCTCTACAAAACACTCACCTGCAGTTTATTCAGGAGCATTTTTAAAAACGACAACTTAAAACAGTATTACTGCGGATACCTTAACTTTGAAGCTGTCCCATTTCTCAAGCCATAAAAAAGACAGGCATCAAGAGAGAGAGACTTACATAAATCCATTCCCACGGCACTCAAGAGCATGAGAGAACAACGTCAACACTTGTCAAGCTAGATGTAACAGATATGAGAGACTGGCCACAGATAAAAACAGAAGTGGACAACTGAATTAATACCAACATGGGAAAAGCATTCAGAGCCTTTTACCTTTCCCTTCTTTTTGACAGTATAAAAATAGGAAGAAAGGTTACACCAGGGAATTGGAGCTGACTACCACTGGGGAAGGATCTCTTTTGGAGATTGCTTCTCCTGGAGTCTTCTCAGCAAGCCCAGGACAGGGGCTTCTTTAGCGTGGTAGCCTGTTTAGCCCTTAATGTATATTTCTTAATTATAATATCCGTATGTTCATTGATCATACAGATTTGTATGTGGCATCTGGTGGATGCTGTTTTTAAAACCGATGTACCAGATGTGAATTCAAATTAGTGCTAAGAAAGCGTAAATAGAATCCAGAGAAGTAGGCACAAATTCATCCACGGTGTGGGATATGTGATGAAGTCTTCAACAACAACAGGTGGGAAATGTAGGTATCACATGGCAGATGCCAGTCAGGAAATGACACATCTGCAAGTTCATCTGAGGTGAAGAATTTTGCCTGAGAACGCTCGCACATGAAGGCAGCACTTTGTGCTTGGCCTCTGAATTCAAAATGATAAGACGATTAAATTCGTTCCTTTAGCTCTCTGAAATGGCTCAAATTAATTAATGCTTCAACTTCCTTCTTATGCACGATAAGATGCATGCAGTGAGGAGTGAATTAAATGAGAAAAATGCAAAGGACTAATTATGTTTACAATGCTGTGCTGTAGAACAGCAAGTGAAATGATTATCTAAGCATCAAAGTCATCTAAGAGACCTACGTTTTGTAAGAGTTTTTTTTCTCTTATTAATAGAAAACCCAAACAACGCAATTTGTCAAGTGGTGCAAGTCAGTTACATAATTCTCCTCAGGTAGCCTCCTGACCATTAAAAACGGATGGTCTAAACCTAAGAGAATTCAAGTTTGTTGGGAAATGACATATTTGCCACTAGTACAGTGTATCCAAATACACCCCTCCCACTGTGCCGAAACAGCTCCCGTCAGTCCTTCGCTCTTAGTCTCAAAGCCCAGAACCAGCAGCTCATTTTCACCTCCCTGGAGCTGCCCACCTTCCCACCGGCAGCCACACTCCTCTCTTTTGAGTATATTGCTTCCTCTTGCTCTCCATGCCTGAATTCCCTGGGTTTACCTGTTCTACCTTTAAACACCTCCCCGGGTCCATCTGAGCCACCAGCTCAGTTACACCAAAGGATCAAGCCAGGAGTGGATCCTTTTAGTATGGACCCATGGAAAGCCGAGAAATGTGAGTGAAGCACGATCAAATAGCTGACTGGATTTGTTTGCAATTTTTAGCAACTGCCCTGTGCTACCGGTGGACTGGACAAGGTATATTCTACTTGTAATGCCATTCTGCAGCTATCGTGACATCAGTTGCCTCTAATCCATTAGCAAGCTTGTCAACAGAGTTGTGCAGGTGCAATTAAACAGTTACAGCCAATGTACCAATATGAAGTAGAAATTAAAATTTATCAGCCTCTCCACTAGCAGCACCTCCCTCAGAAATAAAATTTTACAATGCCAGTTGTAAGAGCAACACTAAAAGTGCCTATTCTGTGACCTTGAGACTTTATCACCAGGCAGCAAAACAAAATATAACAAATCTTCCGGAAAAAAAAGCTATGAGTAAGTATTTCAGGGGAGGGGTCTAAATGGACAATACATATATAACACAGAACCCCCCTTCCATTAATATAAGCTTAATCTTTAATGAAGTCTTTTGGTTGCAGCAGAGCCCCTTTTTATTATTAATGAATGTTTGTTTTTATTGCAGCCTATTCTCCAGCCTCCAGACCACATCCAGGAGGCCATAAAAACATGAGAGCACCCTTGACAAAAGTGTTCTACAAGACGGTCCCTGTCTGCCCCGAGGTATGAATAAACTAAATAGACAGTGTGGATGCTTTATTTTCACAGCCATTCTGTCAAACGAGGTACTAGATGCTCCTGTTTATTTCTACGGGAATTACACCTGAAGCGATTCATTTGCGGTCATGTAAAAAGTCAGTGGCAGAAGCAAATTTAATTCCCAGCCCATTTTTCTAATCTCCCTTCTCCTTGCACCCTTCTTTTGATATTCAAATTATATCTACCAAAAACACACGGCAAGATCGTGTCAAAATGATGTGCATTTTTCCCTTCATTAAAGAAGGCTTTCCTAAGACTTTTCCTCTGCAAGAGGTGCAGGCCTTTGTGTTGTTCCTTTGTGCTCTTTTCATTCATGAATGACAAGGTCAAGACCCTGTCATTCCCACTTGCCTTCTGGATTAGTTTTGTTTACACATCAGCATTTGGTAATGTATATATGTGGCTGATTTTGACTTTCTTGCAGTACTCTGTCCACCTTGCTCCCTGGAGAGACTTTGCTAGGGCTGTATCTTTCTCTCCTTATGACCATCGCCACAGCACGCTGAAATCTCAAGCCCTTCCACTACTCTTTCACAAAAATTCATGTTGGCTGACCCTATGAAGAGCTCTTCTATTTTGAAACCACATTTCTCCACAGGAGTGTCTTAGTGCTGCTTCTACCCTTTGCTTTCTGGTACATGGCACTGTTCCTACTGGGTTCTAGTAGGCTGCAGTGCAGTAAGGACCAAGGTTCGTTAAACAGTGTATTCGTCTAAGCAATAAAACACATATGCTAACCATTCTTGTTGCAAACTCTGGAACTGGCACCACTAAGACATCTGCTCCTCTGAACAGCATAAAAATCTTCTCTACTAACATCACCTTATGGAACATCCCAAAATGTCATCAGAATTGAAATCATTAAGTAGCTGACCATTTTTATTGCTTTGCTGAGGAAAACAAACATGCAACTTGCCAAAAAGAAAACATCAAAAGTTTGAGCTATCAAGTCCTGATGAACATTCACATGAGTAAAGCAATTTGAAATCTGCATTGATTAGCTAAACCTCTGGCACTAAAGACAGAAATTCTCTCCAACTCTACGTGCATTGAGTTACATCTGGAAAAACTGATCCTGGAATGACCTTGAAGCAAAATGTCAGAGATTACCATTCTAATTCCAAAGCCAGTTCCTATTTCAGAGGAAAATAAGAAAGCTAGCTTCTAAATACAGACTACTATGTTCAGGAGTAACTAAAGCAGTGCACTGTATGGAACTGCAAGTCAAGACAAGAAATTACTAAGACTAATTCAAAAGTGAAATCAGCTGATAAGGCTCATGAAGAGTTTATATTGTTAGCTTTGTGACTGTACTCCAAGGGTTGGTTTTATTGGTTTGAGACAACAAACTCTATCAATACTTCTGGCTTATTCACTAACAACATAAAATCAAGAGCATTTCACACTGCGCTCTTCACCATTTTTGTGCCTGAGACTTGTTGGTAAGAAGAAAAAAAGGGGATGATCTTCATCTCAGGACTTCTTGGGGCTTCATCCTGTCTCCAGCACACAGTGGAATATCCAGAGACTATCTTCTCTGTTTGGAACTTTAAACCTCTTCCCTCATACCATCCCAAAGGCACATATTGCACTTTACTGATGCGCTGCTTAAGACAAAGCTCTGTAGTGGCCATGAAACTTCTGCTCTGTTAGAAAAATACAGGGAACCTCTAGATATGGAAACAATAGCATCTAACTAAGCTACTGCCCAAGGAAAACATCATACATTATCCTCATCATCTTTTATTTTCAGTAATGCTCCTTGAGATAATTCTCAAAGGATACCATGATAGATAAATTTCCAGCATACACAGCAGCGACAAGAAAAGCATGCTGTGAAAACACGTGTTATTCTTAGTATCAGAACTGACAAAATCTCACTACTAGTTTTATAATAGCCCGTTAAAGCCATTAAAAAGACAATGATGGGGAGGACATCTGTCTGCCATTGCTATGGCATCAAGTTCACGGTACGGAATACACAAACAAGTGTGCTGTTACTCTAGTCTCAAAGCTCACTGCAGAATAAGATGCTATGGAGGGATCTGTCAAGATGCAAATGTTTTTACAGATGCCCCAAAGAAGAACTTTTTTTCATTCCAGTGTGTTGAACTTGTGCATTGGCCTGCTCAGAATAACACAGGCAGCCGCTTCTTCTAGTACCATCAATTAAACAAATGCTATTTAATTTGGGCAAAGAGATAGACTCTTCACCAGGCACAATAATGTCCCTGTAAAGGCACGGCTTTTGAATTTTCAGTGTGCTTCATAGATTAAAGACAGAAATTGCCATCTGCTAATCTGCTTCTGATGCATACAAAGAGCCACTGCGTATGCTGTTTTCTGATGGTCTGAGGTTATGGTTTCTCTTCACTGCTCGGTGAAAAATATGCAGCACATGTCATAAAATCAGTTACACTATCTTCTTTGTAGTTTATCCCACATTGCCACTGTCTGCCAGGGGGTTTCCTGCTCACCAACAGCCAACAAAATGATTCTCCTGTTACATATCGCATGATAACCTAACCAGCTGTAATGGTTTTACCAGGCACTGGTGTACAGCAGTGCCTGTCAACTGCACAGCTACCTGCTGTGCTGCCAGAAACAAGTGCTTATGCAATTCACCTAATTTCTCTGGGCTTCAGCTTACCCTCTTGGTCTGGAACACAAATGGATGAGGAAAAACAAAGCCTCAGCACTGGCAGTGCTGTCTCAGGGCAGTCACCCATTTCTGAGAAAGCGTAAGGATGTGCACAAAACATGGGAAGAAGAAAACAAGCCTTGATCAATCTGCATGTGACTTGGGAGCGCCTGCTCTTGGGCCTTTTATTCCTTCATGAGAAATAAATCGACTCACCTATCTTGAACTTCTAGTCATCATCAAAAGAAAAGGCTGGAAGAAAAAGTGGAACAGAGATATGAATATTTCAGAAATTTAACTAGAGCAGATACGCCTGGAAATGGGATGGGCAGAGAGGGAGGACTGTTATTTTTCTGATTAGTTGACTATCTCCAGTGACCACCTGAAAATCAGCCCTCTCCAAACTGTCTCAGGATGAGTACTGCAAATCACTACTTCGAAAATATTGACCTAAAAAGCAAATGTGTAGTTTTAAATAATTAATAGCATTCTCTAAGTGGAATTTTCCAGCCCAAAATGAGATGTACAGTTGGATTCCCCTGAGACGAGTATTTCTAATGGAAACACTGACACAACCAAAATGATAATGCATTGAGCAGCAATAACGCTTAGCACATGCCCATTTATTTCATTCTTCTTATCAGACTGGATCTGGTCCCATAAAACATGACACTTTTCTTGTTTGCTCGACCTCAGTTTCAATACCTCTACAGCTTAAAAAAAAAACGCCAGTCCAAATGCATTAATAAAAAATACAACTTGATACATAAATAAAGAGAAAGGCTTGCACCCAACAAAAAGGGCAGTGCTTTGGTTATCTGTATTGTTAATTTCTTACAGGAATCTGGCCATCTTCCTATAGAATTATTGTGCTAAAAAGTTAAGAAGCAAAGCAAGACTTTGCTCAGCCTGGCCACTGCCTGTCCTGCTTTATCTCCATCTGTTGGATCAAGTGTCTGTTTCTAAAAGAAGTACCATCATCTTTTTGGTAAACGATCTTTACACATTTAGGGCCCAAACCTGCCTTTTGCCATATATGTCTACACACATATAGATATATACATCTCTGAGCACATTTTGGAAGACTAGATTTACCATAACTGGCTAGACCCAAACTTGGGCAGCACTGCCATATTTTCTTCAGTCCTATAAATGTCTCTGTCCAATATGTCCTCCCTGCATATGGGAAGATGGGTAACTGGGACCTTTAACAAATGAATGTCATTTTAAAAGTGGATCTCCTATCTAAACTTTATACTATCTGGGTCAAAGCTGGACTTGAAAGTCCCTGAAAAGACACAGGATATATTGTCCCATTAGAATTATAAGCCTACTGTCAATCCTGATCAGATGGGAGAGAATAGCAAAGAATAAGGAAAAGATGCAGGGACCAGCAAATCACAAGCAACAGATGACCAAAGCATGTGATTACTTGTATAGAATACAGAGATACGATAGAATGAAACACTAGTATCTTTGTAGCAACAGGATGTTTTCATGGAGATCAGGAGCTTTGCATTCTGTAATGACTTAAGACACATACAAAGAGAAATCAAATGGAGCTGGTGATAGAGTTTGAAGGGAGAAAAATAAAGCATTTATATTAAAATGTGAATTTCTCATCCAGAAATCAAAATGCCATAGCCCAAACCATGAACAGTATATCTGCTTCCTTCACTCAGGAGCTACAGGTGATCCCTGACCTCATATTAACCACATTTTGTTCCCAAAACTTTTCTCATCTATCTACCAGGTTCACCATCTTGCTTTCGATTGTGAGCTAGTTTCCATTTGGTGACAAGAACAGACATATTCTGGGAAACCCAGTGAGAAACATTTGTCACATCTAGGACAAAGAGCTTTAAATTGAGACATAAACAAATTCCTGAAGGGAAATACTTTAAGTGATCTTCTGTGGATACAAAACTACGTGGTCACAGAAGTTCATCTGGTCATCTTACCCATTAAATTCCAGTTCTACTGTTGACTAAAAAGTAACTGATTTACAATAATACATTTGTAGAATCTAACAAATTGCAACAATATTTCTTTCAGGCATATCACACTGGCTACAGACAAGAAATTCCTTCATTATCGGAGAAACGTTGAAGGATGAGTCAGGAAACTTCTACATCAGCATTATCATGAATAATAAACTACATGCTATAATATTTCCCAGCAGTACTCTTAAGACAGTCAATAAGGTGGAAAAAAAAATAATCTTTAACTGTGTAACATCAGTCTTCAGCATAGTGTTTAAATTATATTAGCGCTGTGCTCTGTAAATAAATAAATAAACAAGCAGAAGGTTCAGAAAGCACAGCCAAGCAAGTTTAATCTTGACGTAAGGCCGTGATGTTTTATTCATGTGATGAGAAGAGAGCAGCTTGCAGCTGTCTGGGGAGAGCTGTTACATACTCGTGGGGAAAGGGAAGAACAGTACGCAGCTGAGAAAAGCTGTTATGCAGCAGGGATGCAAGGAGGGAAGTGGAAAGGAAAATAGATTTTTCCCCTAGATGTTTGGCTGGCTTTGCTGGGTATTTGTTAATCAGGGCAAGATCTATTTATTCCAGACAGGGAGCAGCGCAGATGCTGATGCTCTATCAAAAGTAAAATAAGAGACACTCAGGATGGAACAGGCAGCTGTCCAGAGGCAGGCGTGTGGTGCCACTGAGCCGTGCTGTTACTGGTGGCAGCCACATGCCTCAGTGAGAGAAGAGACTTTGCTCTGACCTGGAAGATTGTAACAAAAATCTCTCTAGATTTGAGGCTCAGAGTTGGATGCTTTGACAATGAATATTGCAAAAGCTGCTGTTTCTTCAGTCGTTCTCTGTGGCAATACTAGGAGAGATCAACTGGGCAGTGCTGAGCCTGGACACCCTTGGGTCAGGTCTACAGTCACACTGTATTCCTTTGCTCTCAGAGAGTTTTCCAGTTACTTGGCTGTGGTAGGTTAGAAAGAGACCAAACCATAGCACTGACCCTTGTGACAGATCCTGATGGTGACACTGTCTCAGTCACAACTCTCCCAAGTCTGAGAACTGGATTTACCCGAGTTGCACAAGCTGCACAGCTCTTCACACAAAACTTGCTTCATTCCCTGTGTGATTCATTTTCACAAGGCCATTTGCACTCACCTACTGCAGAATAAAGAGGTACCTATCAAACGAATGGATTTGGAGAGGTGTTTCTCAGCCATGTAACACTTACCTGAATAGATGTAAGACCGGTACCCTGCAACAGGATCGCAGAGGAAAGGAATGGCATTTGCTACAGCATGAGATAGTTTTTTGGGTAACATCTACATACAGTCCCTGTGGGAAGAATAGTGTTTAATAAACAGAGCAGGCTGCAGAGACAAGGGATGTCATAGCTTTTGTAGATTAACACCATTTCAGAAATGACAGCCTACAAAACCTGAACTCAAGAGCAGCTGCTAACAGCACTTTGAGAGGCAAGACATGCTACAAAAACAGTCACGAACCTTTGGAGATTTGAATATCACAAGTAATAAGTTGAAAAATGCAGATGATAATAAAAAGAGAGAGAAAAAAAAAACCAGAAATCTTTGCTATGAAGTAATGGCAATAGAATGCAATGACGAGTTCTGTGCAGATTACAGCATCACCTCATCTCCCTTATGCACCAGAGGCAATAATATCCATAAGATAACTCCACTGACCTTATGTTCCAGCTCACTGACCCTCTGTTCTGTTTACACTAGCCACACATAGGTGTAATTTCTTGTGGGGACTTATCTGCACAATTCAAAACAAAAAAAAAAAAAGAAAAAAAAAAGCAAGGGGAAAAAAACAAATGGTAATGTTGCTTCTAGACATCTGTGTAATTCATATTCATGTTCGTGTATGCAAAGAACAAGTTGTAACGGTATGAGGCTGTGCACTTCTGCAGGAGTTCTGCAGAAATACAAACCACAATTCAACATGGTGGGTAATGAACTGTCTGGAAAGTCACCCTTAATGAGTTGTGGTCAATGGCTCAGTGTCCAGGTGGAGATGGCAAGGGGGTGAGACTAGACTACCTTCCCAACTCAAACAATTCTGTCACTCTGCTATGGCACCTAGGCTGGACTTCAGGGTTTTCTGTGGCGTCTCAGGTCCAGAGAAGAATGAAATCAGTCAAATCATTTACTTCATCCTGAACTGCCAGACTCCAGCTTCACAAGCAGCCAGGAGGGAACAGGCAGACTACCCAGATGCACTATAGATACGTCCATTACGTACCCACCTCTCCTCCTGTCCAGGCTGAAAACACACAACCTTCTGAATCATTCCTCACACAGAGGCCATTCCATATCTATGGTAACACTTTCAGGCTTACGGCCCTTCTCTGAACCTTTTTCAGCTTTAATATATCCTTTGAAATGACAGGGATAATAATGAAAGAGTGATGGATGATAGATCTATAGAGTGGCATAGTGACATTTTCAGGTTTGCTCTCAATTCTTTCCCTTATTATTTTATTTGTGAATAATTACTATTCACAAATAATTCCCTTATTATATTTCCCTTTCCCTTGGGAAATACCTTTCCCAATCATTGCAAACATTTGATGTACATCTTCAATGTTGCTGAATTACAAGTATCCCCAAATAAGTGTTGCAAAAAGATTGTATTGTGTGCTACTCTATTTAAAGAGTTCACCCGGTCAACATTGCAGAAGAACGTTTTTCTTTCAAAAAGAAAGGTTTCCAGACAGATGTTCTCCCACCTCTCTTCGGTATTGAGTACTAATAAACATACTGATTAGAGAATTCTGAGTGCAAGGAGGAAAAATTCCAGAAGGCCTCAGTTCTCCCTCCCTGGCAAAGCTAAAATTTTTGAGGATGAAGGAGTGGTGTGAATAAGCAGCTTTAGGTGACATTACTAACTGAAGTCTAAACACACAAAACAAAAAACAACAAAAAAAGAGGTCTGATGGAACCTTTTTGTCTGCACTCTCCTTCTGCTGGCATTAAAACTCCCAAGCCTCCAACTGTCCTCTTGTGTTGAAGCACTGCATGCTATTACCTATCAGCAGCATCACAGGAGGACTCTGTATGAGCACATGGTTGACTATAAATGTCTTTACACCACTAATATTACTATCTTCCCCCAAGAGTCACAGTCACCAAGGTATGTGACAATTTCCAGACAAGCTGATGTTGTGCTGATGCATGTCTTTTACAACTCTCCTGTCTGAGTACAGCATGGATTTAGTTCCCTGCAGCTGAGGGATATGATAGAGTAGTGAACAGTGCATGCTAGAATTTGGCAGTATAGAGACAACGTAATAAAATAGATAAAGAAGCAGTTGACAGAAAAAATAGTTATCTGCTGAAGCATTTCCTCTTAGTGCACATAGAAGCCAGAAGCAAGAGACATAGGCAAGGAGAAGCAGCACTCTTACAAGTGATAAAGGCCAGGAAATGAGCACCAAGAGCAGCACCAATGGGACAATTTGAGAAACATCTTGTTTCATCAGGTTTCAGCAAATTACCAGACTCAGAACCTTTTGCAAAAATGGGCCTGTTTTTACAAAAGCAGCCATAGCAAACAGGCAATTTTCCTTCTAAAGCCTGGTTTCTTGGCATTATTCCTTCTCAAATCTCTGACAGATCCTACCCTCTTCCCTTGTTGATCCCAAGCCTGACACTCTCATAGCAAGCACACATATAGACTGTTCTTTGGTCCAGAGACACTGGAGGCCACAGTGCCTGTGAGCCAACAAGAGATAGACCACATCAAATTAATTACTCCACAGCTTTCCACAGGTCTGTCCTTAAATGGTTCTAGCAGGCCCTCTGATGGGATTTACCTCTTAGGAGAATTCAGGGCAGAAAATAGCCTGCTCTCTGCCAAATAAACACAACAACAACACAACCCACAGCTTTCTGCTCATACACTCTATGAATGGCATTAACTTTTTCTGCTTGGTTCTGGTAACAGGCCTGGGTTCTGCTCCACACCAGAAGCATCTGTTCCTTCTGTGCTCTATACAAGGCAGGCAAGATGGATTGTGGTCAGACTGAATATAAGGACTGATATTCACAGTACTGGAAAGCTGAGTGATTTACTTTTAATATTCTTTAGAGTTCCTTTGTCCACCTAGCAGCTAAACAGGACCAGATTCCCAATGACCTCATCTTCATTTATGTTGAGGTCCCTCACATAATACAGGAAGTACAGATGGACCATAAATAAGACTAGATTATATTACTTCCAGTTAAAGTCCATTTTAAGCTGGTCTGAGTGGCATAAAGAGGCTTTTCTGCAAAGGAGAATCTGGCCCATTAGTCTTTTTAATGCCCATAAGCAGATGATAACAAGCAACAGTGCACTTTGCAGATGGCTAGCAGCATGTAACACAGAGCAACACACTGTAAATAGAGCCACTACGTCGTGAAGCCATCACATGCTGCAAACTATCAGAGGAGTAATGCTTTTAGCAGTGAGCTAACTGTTAAATATGGGGTTTAGATTACGTACCAGCTCTGGACTTTCACATGGGAAATGACTGCTAACAAATGCAAGATTGTCACCTGACCTTAAGCGAGTTGTCAGATCAGATGACAACTATAAGGAAAACACATTATTTATGCTGTTTTAAAATGATATGTAATAATCATTTTGCTATAGCCCATCAGCTTTTAACCTCTTTGGGGCACGAGTATGATCACAGTCAAGAGATGTAATTCAGAATCAGAGAATCCCAACAACGTTTATCCTGCCTCTTCGCCCAGCTCTTGATGGAATGTGATGGGATCTGACCCAGCCAAGGCCATCAGGCGTCTTCTACCTTTTTGTCTCACTTATCTTTTGAGCTAGGGTTGCACCCCTGTAAACAGTCAAACTACGCAAACAGAAGCCTGGGCAAAGTACCTGAAGAAGGACCCTGTACATATATATACATTGTGCTTGTATGCAGGAAGCTACCAACAAAGCCCTGGTGCATTCGTTCACGCCATCCCAACTTAGCAGGACAAAGCACTGTCATTTCAGATTACTTTTCCGAACGAAATGCATGGGCAAAGACAGTATACCTACTCATTTTAGAAATACCTCAACTACCTCAGTTTAACTTGTTATTCCAGATTAATTTTCATCAATATTTTGACCTCAGCAGAAAAAAAACAGTGCAAATATGCAGAGAGATAAACCAGTTAGGTAAGATGGGGAAGAAGGGCTCATTTTGCATATTCTCTAAGGGGATTTCTGATAGCCTCAACAAGTCTTAGTGCAGCTTCTTTTTGCCCTTTTTTATTTTCCACATCAGTTCAGCTATGATCCTTCCTTTCATAAGGAAGACTTCAGTGCAGCCATAGTAGAAAGTGACCTTCAAAAATCAACCATGACAAGTTCTTACAGTAAGAGAACCTTTGTTT